GCTAACGCTACAAAAGTCGAAATTTTTTTACGTTGACTCGCACCGTATATACTACCGTATGCATTTCATTGCTATGAATATCCTGCCACCATAAACTTTTTACTACTGTAAGGGTTCCATGCGGTGAAACTGCTGTACTGAAAATACTGTACTGCTGTGAATAACTTACAATAACGTTGCAGTTGTCTGCATTGTTGTTGCCGTAGTAAAACCCTTTTCCAGTATTGCTGAAGCATACTCCATCGATACAACTGATTCCAACATTACTGTTTTGAAAACTGTTGATATTTTGTGCCAGCAGTACATTTGCAACAACAATGTTCAGAAACAACAGCCTAAAATAATATCACAAATTCACCAAAAAGCAAATTTTGTAAATTGACATTAAGTCCGTTTGGACAACTGTCATGAATTCTCAATCAGTAATTTTACTGGAGTAATACCACATATTGAATTTTTTTTTTTTTGCTATTCTAGATCCTTTGACCCTCAGCTGTCTTACTTCCAACGAGTACCAACCACCTGTTCGGGATAAATGCTCCACCGCCGTGGAGGAAGAACTTACAGCACTTACTTTCTCATGAGTACTACTCATGTCGCCTCCACAGCCGAGCATTTTCAAAATCTTGGATTTTTTTTCACATTTTAAAAGTGAATTTCGAAAAAGACTTACAAATGACTAATTATCCAAGCCATTATTGCAGCTGAAGAAGCCTCGTTGCCGTATGCCTACAAATAAACCCGTACATAAATCTAGGATACAAACAGTTATAAGTCAGGGCGCAAGGTGCTACTGTAAGCTGCGACTACTGTCATCAGCACTAGCTGCATTTAAACTGAAATCTCCACTTTGCACCTGCTTTTGCAGCCGCTTACAGATTTATTGCATTAAAAAAGAATAATAATAGTAACAATAATAACAATTATAATGATAGCAGTAAGAGCAATAATAACAACAGTAATAATAACAACAATAATAATGATAAAACAATAATATCAAGGTGATAAAGACTGCGTTGCCGAACTAGAAAAAAAATGGTATTTTATCTAATGAATTTAGCCAAATCAGTTATCTGAATTTCCATCTCACTATCTTTAACTTTTATTTCTTGTAACAAGCTGTCAAACTTCCATTTACAATTTAATAACATATAAGTCCACTCACAGTTTAGTAACACAAGTTTGTGAAATGTGAGAAATAAGTACGATACACAAGAATATGACCGAATACAATACAATAAATACAATGTGATAGTTGCGTAAGTCGACACAAATAATAAAGAGAATACAATGCGTTTTTCTGCGGGAACCAGAAAACCAGAAATGAAGAAAACTAGAAAAATGCCATGAACATAGTAAGCTAAGCAACGATGATGCAGCTTATCCTACAGCTTTTTTATCGCATTGATTGGATGTTTCAGAGCTTCTGTGGCAAAGAGCAAATAATTTAATTTAGCAGGAAGATGCGCCTTTGTTGAGAAAAAGCTGGTAAATCGCCAGAAGATTAACCATTGTTTGATGCAGCATTGGTCAAAATAACCATGAAATGACAAAAAAAAAATAGAGCGTTTATTAGTTACACTATTAGAGATGATTTCGAATATAATTCAGTGGAGAAACAGACGAATAAGTGAGTGAGCAGTTAACTAGGAAGAGAACGTAATAAGTGAATAAGAAACGAAAGATTTCATTAACGAAAGGGGCAAAAATCGTAAAGCATCACGACAGCTTTGTTGCCGAAAATACTTCGTTTGGGTTTTCTGGAGCTAAAGGCCCTGATGCAAACCACAGTGCCTCAGAATGGAAGTAGTTAATACGTTACAACTGACAAAAGAAAAACAGCTCATATGGTACACAAGCTTGGCAAGTTTCTCAAACAACGATGGCGCCATTTCTATAAACTTCAATCATGACCTGAACATAACACGTCAGCTGCGCTATTACGAAAAAGTGAGCTGAAAGAAAACAATCAGCTGATCAATGAAGTCGAAATCCCTCTATACTTGCTGTTTTCGAGAAGCGAAAACACCCAGAAAATGCTCAAGTGATAGTATGCACCAACAGCAACCCGTCGTTGGTAAGACTGCCGAAGTAGCTCCCTCTTTTAAAGATTGTTTAGAAGCAAACTGATGGCAGGTTTGTCTTCAGGCACGTGACAGTACCAATTTACCATCGAAACGAATGAATGAATCATACGGGGTTTAATTGTCTCACTGGCGGAGCAGAATGCTCGAACTTCTGTGCAACAACACTGTTGCTTCCAACTACACCATGCCCGCCGACATTGTTTTGGATGCGAGGGAAACTCGAAATAAAATAGCTCGACGAAGTTCGTATTGCTTGACGACAAATGTTTTGTTTTCTGGATGCACTTATGACAAGGACAGACATACTTGCATGGCAAAAAAAAAGATTTATTGGAAAAATTAAAAGAAAAGCGATAATTGGGGAAGGACGAGGACTCGGAGCACTGAAAGAAAGTATAAGAATGGAGCACAGAGATAGCGTCATGGCTGTGCGCCACAGAACCGCTTGCTGTCGAATGAAAAAACACTAAATTTTACACTGTTTAATTTTCCATTCGCCAAAATAACAAGCTCTGGAGAGCGACAACATGGGAATGTATAGATCCATGGTGCCGTCACCTTCGTCTTCTAACAGCATGCAGGGTGATTGAATTTTGTTCCAAAATGTTGTGAAACCCAACTTACTGCTTATGGATTGATATTTTTGCTTTCAGTGCTTGGGAGGACTCTGCCCGCGCATAATCAGTAATGGTGCTATCAGTACGCGGATATATCACCGCTGTTATTTACTACTCATCCTTTATTTTTTTTTTTTTTTGTAAGTTCAAGTCCT